CATCAATGCGACATAGTAAGATCACCGTGCATCTTCTTTGAAAAGTAAGAACACAACTGTTGCTTAATAAATTTAAGTCTGATTTTTATTCACAACTGTTGAATAAGGGATTTATATTGTTTTGTGTTCATTTATGTAGAGCTAACTTAAAGATAACAAAACTGTACAGAGGTGAAACCCCAAAAACAACCCAAGCCTGCTTCTTTTTCCATAAGCTTTTCCCTGTGGATATAGTTAATTTCAATAGTCTATTGGCGTGCATACACTTGACATATAGAAGACAACGTAAAGGAATGAATGAATAAAGGGTGATAAGAACAATGTAAAATATTTCAAAGTAGAACTGACCAAAGCATAAGCTTTAAGCAAATTCATTACCTCATCATATATAATGTCATTTGCATTATTCAACTCATTATAAAATTATTGAATATTTGAGGGATAAATCTGCAATTAACCCAAAACAATGTTACCTAAAAACGTAATCGCTTAACCTAAGCTAGTCATGTTGCTTACTTCATTAGCAAATAGTGCCTCATTAGTAGAAAGCAAGGTCCAATTTCAATTAAACTAAGCATTTGAACAAAGGAACAAGTATCCAAAGGTGCATAAGCCAAGAAAGGGCTTCAATTATTACTGTACTTAATTACATCTCAATCTCATAACTGTAATAAAACTACGAAACTTGCCGGATGCAGAGAAAATCATAACAAGGATAGCAAAACAAAAACTCGCAGCCAGCCGGCCAATCAGAAGGCCAAACAGTCTCCAACAGCCGGAGAATGATTCATCATTATACTAAAATTAATCTAACAGTGTCAGGCTAAGCAAACAATCACCTTGCTACTCGATAAGCCGCTATAAATACCCAAACAAGAAAGCAAGTAAGCGAACAACGACGAGAGAGGAAGATAAAGAAATGGCTTCCCCTGTAATGAGAATGATGATGATTATGATCGTGCTCGTGTTTGCTGAAGTTATCTCTGGATATGAAACTACATGTGGAGGAGTTATTGTAGACGGTTTTGAATGCAACTTAGGAGTGTTGGATTTTTTGATCAGAACCGCTTTCCAAAATGAATTTTCAATATATATATATATATATATATATATATATATATATAGCTACAAAACAGGTATTTTATTATATTGGTTAAGATATTAACAAGATAAATAATAATAAATTTTGAATTTATAACTTGATTGCTATTTTTTAGAATATGTATTCCTACTTTAAAGCGGAGATATCAGCAATAATCAATCCAGAATCACCTTGTTACACCGCATGCAAGAGTTGTCAAAGAAAGGTTTTTGTTGAAGACAGCATAGCTAACTGCAACAATTGCAATACTGAAGATGCGGAATGGGAAATAAAGTAAGTTTTAAATTTTATTTATAATAAAAATAAAAATAACATTAAATTTTCACATCAAGGTACCTTATGCGATTGGAAGTTAAAGATCATATCGACAAGGCATATGTTACACTTTTCGATGAAGCTCGGTTTCTAACTGGTTGTTCAGCTGAAGAATATGTAGATTCATTTGATGAAGAAGGAAAGGTAATATAACATTATTTATTTCAAATATATAAAAGCTTTTTTCCATAAAATTAGTAAATTATTAAAATAGAAAAATGACCATAAATATAATGCAGGAGCACTTATCACCTATGTACCAGAAAATGATGAGCTGTTGCGACAAAGAATATCTTTTCTTGGTAAAAATGAACAGGAAAGATGAAGAGAAAAGAATTGAAGGAAGAATAACCGCTCAAGAAATATGCAGCCCAAACAATTTCGAACCAATAAAATGTGATGAAGATGAAGATTCAAAGGACATTTCACTGAAGCGAAAGAGTATGACAAGCCTGAAAAAAGATATGAACAAAAGAAAGTTCATGAATAATAAAAATATTAAAATAGAAAGTGAGAAGTGATACATCATTTATAGCATTATGATGAATACGCTTAATTATGTTTATTTAAACTATTATGTCGAGGATATTGACAATGAAAATTTTTCTGGTAATTTGCTTTTTTCTTCAATTGGGAAGCCATCAACCTGCAAGTTGGCAATAGCTTTATTGATCACTTTTCCAATAAGATTTTTCTATTTTTATAGTAAAGAATATACAACTAATTTGATTCGGTGTTATTTGCAATGAGTTTATGTGAGGTTCACTGATTTTTGCAGTCATCTATTACTTGCATGCTTTTGTCAAGTGGTGGTATCATTTAACTTTGACGTTAAGTCTGTAGTGTTAATGTTTTTAGTTTTTAATAGAATTCTCCTTTCATTTTTATTTGGATTTGTTATTTTATTCAGGCGTTTGTTAATTTTGAGTTTTAACAAAGTAGGTTTTAAATATTTATGTGGGAATCATAATTTGGTGAGTAAAAATTACTTGGTGTACAAATATTTAAACTCATGCAGTTTCTTAATATGCATCACGTGCAACGCACGTACGGTATACTAGTTATACTAAAATTAATCTAACAGTGTCAGGCTAAGCAAACAATCACCTTGCTACTCGATAAGCCGCTATAAATACCCAAACAAGAAAGCAAGTAAGCGAACAACGACGAGAGAGGAAGATAAAGAAATGGCTTCTCCTGTAATGAGAATGATGATGATTATGATCGTGCTCGTGTTTGCTGAAGTTATCTCTGGATATGAAACTACATGTGGAGGAGTTATTGTAGACGGTTTTGAATGCAACTTAGGAGTGTTGGATTTTTTTATCAGAACCGCTTTCCAAAATGAATTTTCAATATATATATATATATATATATATATATATATATATA